AACAAATTTATTAAGTGAGCGTGAAGCAATTGCATCTGCTATAATTCCAACTGTACAAGTTATACAAACCATGTTAATTCAAGCTGAAAAGTCTCCCTTGTTTTTTGGATTAGGAACCATTTTAAAAGAATGTAAAAACTCAGCAAATGAAAGATTTGAAAAATATCTCAATGACAAAAATCTCATTTTAGCCACATTTTTAGATCCAAGGTATAAAAATAATTTTTTTCCAACCGAAGTAGCTGACAGTTATCTTGAAAATATTATTAAATGGCTTGTAGATTGCTCAAAAAGTTTTCAACAAAATGATCATATTGAATTTCAACCTGAGGTCAGTTCTTCATCAAGTACAACAAATCTAGATTTCGATTTTTCAAAATGCTTTGAAAATTTTATTAAAAATAAAAACACTTTAATTGAAAACACATCTATATCTGAAGTTCTGCAAGAAACAGAAAGCAAACATTATATAAAATTGAAAAATGAAGTTTTAATGTATTTGAGTCAAGACATAATCATGCAACAAGATAGTCCTATAGTATGGTGGGGAGCAAATAGAAATAACTTCAAACAATTAGCTCCAATAGCTCAGAAATATTTATCATGCCCTCCATCTTCTGTTGAAAGTGAACGATTATTTAGTTGTGGAGGACAAATTTATTCTCCACGACGAAGTAGGTTGGCTCCGGAAACAGGAGAAATGCTTATGTTTTTACATTACAATATTCGTATACACAATTTTAAATACTAAATATTGTTACAACTGCTATTGGTGCTTCCTTTAGAATCTTAATGCTATTATTTTCTTTTGTATTTGATTTTGAAGTCTCTTATTTTATTTTGAGAAAATGTATATATTTCATGTTATAAAGGTTATTTTTATTTGTTTTTTTATAAAGAGCCTAAAATTCTAAGTAAACTGCTTATCTTAATAACATTTTCTTTTTAAAATTGAAATAAAAAGTGTTCCTCTAAAATTGTATTTATTTTTTGAAAGTTTTCTTTTCATAGTTAAAAAAAAGTAAAAAATGTATATTTATTTGATTAAGCTTTTCTAATATCTTTTAAAATAAAGGTTTGACTCTGATTTGGGTCCAAGTATTTACTTATCAGTTCTGATTCCATGAAAAATTTTAACGATTTAAAGTTATATGGTTTTTATATTTTCAAATTATAATAGCTAGTTAATCTATCGGTATCGGCATCGGTATCGGCCTTTTCCTATCCATCGGCATCGGTATCGGCATCGGCCAAAAATGTGCAATCGGTACATCACTAATATATATATATATATATATATATATATATATATATATATATATATATATATATATATATATATAAACTTTTTTTTAAAGCTTTACTAACTTAAAAAAAGCATGGAAAAAAATAAATTTAATTCTGCTGCATGCTAAACTTTTGAGCAATACTGTGTGTGTGTATATACATATATATATATATATATATATATATATATATATATATATATATATATATATATATATATACATATATATATACATATATATATATACATATATATATATACATATATATATATATACACATATATATATATATACATATATATATACATATATATATATATATATATATATATATATATATATATATATATATATATATATATATATATATATATATATATATATATATAAATATATATACATATATATATATATATATATATATATATATATATATATATATATATATATATATATATATATATATATATATATATATATATATATATATATATATATATATATATATATATATATATATATATATATATATATATATATATATTAGGGTGTGTCACTTTGATGACTAAAACCCAAAATTTTCAAAAAAAGAAATTTTATAGTGAAATTATGGTAGAAATTCATAAATGAAATGGAGTAATACTTTTAAAAATTAATTAAATTAAGCAGTAGCTACATTTTTTTGGGTTTTTATGTATTTAATTTGCTAATATTTTGAAAATCGCTACAACAATAATAATAATAAAACAATAATAATAATAAAACAAGTTGTAAAGAGAAAAAGAGGAGTATCAGCAGCAATTAGAAATGGGAGTTAAAAAATTTAAAAAAGAAAAACTCAACCAAATGATTCCAGAAGATTATAATTGCCTTGCACAGATTAATCAAGTAATAATAAAATATGTTTGTAAGTAAATAATTCTAATATAACTATTTTTAAAGAAATCGTTGGTAAGGTGATTTATAAAAATACCTCAATATCTTTTTTTTACTTTTTAGATTTTTTATAAACCATTAACTTAATGATAATAACACAAAGTTTAGGTCTTCTATTAATTTTTTTAGATTAAAAAAACAAACAAAGTTGACTCGGAACCAAATATTTCTGGAGAACCAGAACCTTCCAATAATATTCTAAAGGTTTATAACAGAATGGACATAACAAACATTGCACTTGCTAGTATGAGGCATCACACTTACGAGAAACTGCAGAAATAGCGACACCAGCACTTATAGATGCAAAAATTATAACAAAGAATGATACATTGATGATTATTGATCACAGCAAGATTAGAAGGGCGCAAAAGAAGTTAACAATCCAATTAGATAATAAATTTTATAAAGATCTTGAAAATAATGTGATTTCCTATATTTTTTTCGATGGCAGGAAAGATAATACAAAAGTATTAACAGAATTTGATGGTAGATATTTCCTTGGTCTTCTTAAGGAAGAGCATTACTCTGTTGTTACTGAACCAAGTGGTAAATATCTATTTCATTTTGTTCCTGATAAAACTGATCACAGAAAACATGCTGAGGTAATTGCAGACCACTTGGTTAACTGGTTGTGAAAAGAAATTTAGGAACACAACTTAAAGCTATAGGAGGGGACAGTACAAATGTAAATACTGGTTGGAAAGGTGGTGTGTTGCAATGGGTGGAAAGAAAATTGAGAAAGAGATTAGTGTGGATTGTGTGCGATCTTCACATAAACGAGTTAAGGTTAAGACATTTAATTATAAGCTTAGACGGTACAACAAAATGTGAAAATAAGTGGTCAGGACTGCTGGGAAAAATGTTAAATACAGCAACCAAGTCTTGAAATTAATCCCAGATTTACAAAAATTGATGTTGGGCCTGCATTAATTGTTCTAAGTCCTGAAGTAATAAAAGGTTTAAGTTCTGATCAGAGCTATGCTTACAGAATAACAAAAGCAATAAGGTCTGGTGATTTACCTCAGCAGTTAGCAATGCTAGAGATAGGACCTGTTTGCCATAGCAGGTGGCTCACAACAGCACTAAGATTTTGCAAGATATGGGTTTCTCAGCATGGCCTATATGGCACCAACATTCAAAATCTTACATGGATTGTTGAATTTATTGTAGGTGTTTATATTCCAAACTGGTTTAACATAAAAGTTAAATCATGTTGGGTTGAGGGACCAAGACACGTTTCATACCAATTAGAACTACTCAGAAGCCAGAGGAAACCAGTTCTTGATTTTGTAATGCCCACAATTAAAAGATCAGCTTGGTATGCATATTCAGAAGCTGTTTTACAAGAAATGATATGCAGAGAGAAAAGTAGAAAGTGTTCAAGCTGTGGAAATTACTCTTAAGCTTCGTGAATCAATCACGAGCAAACTAATACTTGTGTTTATATCCATAAACATTGAAGAACACCGGATATTAACATTGATGTTAAAGATCTTTTTAGTTTGATAGACTGGAGCAATAATATAACAGAACCACCTTTGACATGCAATTTTACACCTTCCGATATTAAGATTTAGTTTATAACCCAATGGTTGTTCCCTATTGGAGTTCACCTACACAATAATATAAGGCTATCTAACAATAGGGTGCCAAACCACCTCAAGTGTAAAAAGCCCTACAGCGTACTTTGAAAAAATTACTATATAAATAATAATAAAAAATAATATGTATTTTGTACAAAATATAAGGGTTTTTATAATGATATTCTTACATATTTAACACATATAAGCAGAATTTTTCAAAATTTTTCGGGTGCTCATCAAGTAGTTTGTAGAATAGTGATAAAGAGTAAAATTAAAAATTTTAAAAATTCAACAAAACTTAAAGTTATTTTTCTTATTTATATATAAAATCCTAATATTTTTTAAATATAACTTTTTTGAAATCAATTTTTTTTTTAAATGACACACCCTAATATATATGTATAAAATTAAAAATTTTAATCTGCCATTAAAAGAAACAAAAATAAAAAAAAATCACCCATATCTTGGATCAACAGCAAGAGCTCGTGGTGCATCAATATCATACGAAATAAGAACTGATCGCATTGTTCCATCTAGTCTTGCTACTTCAATAGTATCCAAACGCATGTCAGACCAATAAATATTTTCTGCTACCCAATCAATTGCAATCCCTAAAAATAAACTTAGTTTTAATGAGTACACAAATCACTTTTGAAGCTTTAAATAAACCTTTAAATATTTTTCCATATTAATTAATAAACTATACCTACAAATATATTTTTTTTTCCTGGAGTCTATGAAAATAAGTATATTTGGTTTTACTTATATTTAAGAATAGTTTATTCGACTTGAATCATTCCATTAAATTGGTGAGTTCCTTATTGACAATTTCAAATAAGGAGTTACTATTAGAGTAAAACAAGTTTGTGTCATCGACGAATAAAATTGAAGTCAAAATATTAGAAAACTATGAAAGTTGTTTATATAAACAAGAAAGAGTAGTGGTCCAAGTATTGATAATTGAGGAACACCGCATGTGACAGTCATATATTTTGATTTTCCTTTGTTATATGATATATATTATTTTGTATTTGTTAAGTAACTTTTAAACCAATCAATGTTTGAGTTTTTTATGCCATAATGTTTTAGTTTAGTTAAAAGAATGTTATGATCAACTGTGTCAGATGCTTTGCTGAGATCTATGAAAACTCCTACAGTATATTTTTTTCATCAAACGCTTTAAGTATGTCATGAATAAGGTGAATAATGGCATGGTCAGTGGAATGTCTTGACTTAAATCCGAATTGTTTGTTGTAAAAAATATTATTACTATTTAGAAAGGCATAAAGTCTACTGTACATAATTCTTTCTAGTATTTTTGAGAAACAAGGAAGAATTGAGATCGGTCTATAGTTTACAACGTTTGAAACGTCACCAGATTTGAAAATTGGTACAACTTTTGCAATTTTAAGTTTTTCAGGACAAACACCTTGTTTTAAAGATAAATTAAAAATGTGCAATAGTGGAATAGTTATATATTTTATTGATTTTATAATCACTCGACTACTGATATCATCATATCCTAAACTTTTTTTAGGTTTTAACAAAAACATTGCACCCAACAGTTCTCTGTAAGTTCATCATTGTTCATTACATTGGTATTATTAGAATTTAAAAAAGATTCAAAGATTTTACTTTTGTGGCTTCTATTTTTGATGCTAAGTTTTCAAAACAGTACGGGGGTTAAAAAAATTTGTTTTTATAAGAACATAATTATAAATTCTAATTTTATAAATAAATGAAACCATTTTATTAAATTAATTATTTTTAAAAATAATTAAAAGTTAAATTTATTTAATATTGATACAATAAGAAAATTTAGAGTTATACAGCTACCAAGTGCGCAATAACGACATAATTTGGATAACCATCAAAATAGTATTATAATCTATTATTTTTTGGCTTTATATACTTTTTGGCTGATCCTTTATCTAAACTTTAAAACAAGGGATCATCCATAAGTTACACAACGTTAAATTTCACAATTGAAGAAAACAAAAATGATCTAAATTTTTCCTCACATAGTTGTAGGTTAAACAAAAAATCTATATAGCTCATTAAGTTTAATGAAAATCGCCATCCTAAAGAACTAAAGATCTCTTCTATTTTTTTAAAAATAAATTTAGCGTTACATAATTTGTGGGCGATTCCATAGCATTTTATAGCCTATCTATATTTTTGCTCTTAAAGTTGTTTTTTAGAACAAAATTATTTTACTTAAAAGTATTGTTTTGGAATAGACTTACAAGACCCGTATTTTTACGGGTCCGATCTCAGCTAGTAATTATTACTATTTTTATTATTATTATTATCATTATTACTGTATTATTTATAAAATTATTATTTATTTTTTAAACTTTATTTTTTAAACAAATAAACTGAAATTTACCTTCAGGTGAATTCATCCCTTGGCTAATTATTACTTCACGACCTGATCCATTTAGAAACATTCGCTCAATTTTATCTGTACCAACATCTGACCAATACAAGCGCTGCTCTTGCCAATGAAAGTCTACACCAATAGCATTTGATAATCCATCTACTAACGATTTTAAATCACCTGTTGCTGAGTTGATCTCACGTATTGATTTACCATCTGAGAAAATAATACTTGGACTTGGACCTATAAAAAAGGAATGAAAGATTAAATTAAATAACTCTCACAGAAAAAATAGTTATTAAAGTAACCTTTAAACAAGATATTTTACCACCAGCTGTACATGACTGACTTCCTTCACGTAAAAAGTATCCTTCTGCACATTTGCACTTATAAGACCCTTTGGTATCATAGCAAAGCTGACTACACATACCATTATTAATAGAACACTCATTGATATTTTCACAAGTCTGTGAATCATTAGATAGTATGTATCCTGATCGACAGCTGCACTGTACGCCTAAAAATTTGCAAATAAATTTTTTTGATAATTTTTAAAAGGTTGAAACTTATCATTTAACAAGAACTAAGCTAGCCTATTGATTAAAAACAAAAAATGATAACCCAATAACTAATAAGAACAAATAAAGCTACCCCTTTGGTTAATAACAATAATAAATCTAACCATTTGGCGTTTGGCTGCAAAAATGATAACAACCACCATTTTTTTGCAAACATCCATTTAGTTTGCATAAAGGCCCTTCATCGTCAGATAAAGGGCAGTCGTTAACTTCATTACACACTGAAGCTATAGGAATACACTTTGTTGAATTTTGACATTTCCATTCTGTATCTTTACATGTTTTTTCAACCAAACTACCTGAAAAATAATTATTATTTATAGATATTACATACTTACTGTTTACTGTTGTTGTAAAAAACATTATATATTTACTGTTTACTGTTGATGTAAAAAATTAAATTGTTATTAAATTAAAAAATAAAACACGTTGAAGTAGTTAATAAGCTTTTAGGAGAATTTTATTCTATCTATTTTGTGAGAATCAGTTTTAGAACAATGGTTTTATGCAGATGATTTGTATGTTTGTGAATAAAACAATAATAACTGTAAAATAAATAGAATGGAATCTTAAGAACTCATTGTGAAACTAAAAATTTTAATTAGAGGATAAAATTTGAAACAAGAAGAAGCAATTTCCAAAAATAAGTTCTATTTGTCTGTATGATTATGAAATTGTTATGAAACTTACAGAAGTTTCATAACAAATTTTTTTAGGAAATTTTGATTAAAATATTTTTCGATGAAAATTTTTAGTACCAATAATAATACTTTCATTTTTTAACATAAATTTAATTATCTATTTTTTCATCTTCTCTTAATATTATTTTTTATTTATACATTTTTTTTTTATAAGTTTATACTACAAACTTATATTATATTTTCTTCTTGACTTATTAATTTGCTTGTTTAAAATTACATATTATAAATACACTGCAATGAAAGCCTTTATACTTACAACAAATAAATCAAAACAACTAAAACCTGATGGGGCTTTAAAATTTATTGAGCAAACAAAACAGATAGAAAATTGGTTAATAATAATTAAATTGTAAATTATTACACCTCTACTTTTTTTACCTGCAAAAATATACCGGCAAAAAAAAAAACTTTTTTTTTTTGCAGGTATACTTTTTTTAATTAACTGTATTCCCTGGGCATATAAGCTTCATTGGTACGAAGGACAATGTGAACTTCCTTGTTAAGTACTTTTGTCATGACCGTGATCCATTTTCCAAGTCACTGAGCAATGCTCTGTGACAAGAACATTTGTCCTTTTTGGAACACCTTAATAATTTGGGGGTAAAAAATCCCTTAAGGAACTGAAATACAAGTTGTAAGTTTACACATTTTTGATAAAAGTTTTGTAAACACCTGAAACAAGTTTAAATTTAGACAAATTTTGGTTTTTATGACTCGTGATTTATTACAAAAAGAAAAAAATTATTTTTGTTATATAAAAAAATTATGATGTTACCACAAGATACTTCATCACTGTTATCACCACAATCATCAGTGTTATCACATCGATGAGATAAAAGAATACAATGTTTATTTTGACATTGAAAATGGCCTGCTGTGCATTCTGTGTAATTGCAGTTTATTTCATCTGATGCATCATCACAATCTTTTATGTAGTCACACAAAAATCTGTTTGAAATACACTTCTGACTTTTAACACAGCGAAACTCAACATCAAGTAAACAGTTGTCACAAACAATATCGACTGAACCATTATTAAATGTACAGTCTAAAAAAATAAAATAGTGGTAAAGAATAAATTTTCAACTTAAAATACATAAAAATAGTGGTAAAGAATACACTTTTAAATTAAAATACATTAATATGGGGTAAAAAATAAATCTTTAAATTAAAATAAATTAATATAGAGTAAAGAATAAATCTTCAACATAAAATACATAAAAATAGTGGTAAAGAATAAATTTTCAAATTAAAATATATTAAAATAGTGGTAAAGAATACATTTTTAAATTAGAATACCTTAAAATAGTGTTAAAGAACAAATTTTCAAATTAAAATACATTAAAATAGTGGTAAAGAATAAATTTTCAAATTGAATTACATTAATAAAGTGGTAAAAAATACATTTTCAACTTATAATACATTAAAATAGTGGTTAAAGAAAAAATGTTCACCAATGTAGCATTAAAATTTTTTTTTGGGGGGAACGACAATCGATGAACATAAAGATAATAAATAAATAACTAACTATTGAAATCTATTGTCAATTCATTCATAAATAATTAAATCAACTTGATTAAAATTAATTAGGTTAATTTATGTAGTTGCATTTGCTTTAAACCAATTCAAATAGGGTTTATCACTTTATTATTTTGCCTTTATTGTTGATTCATTCAAACTACAACATTATTTTAGCTTCATTGTGTAATCACTACACTGTAGTCATAATAAATAAATAATGAATATTAATGAGGAATCAACAATCAATGAGGAACAAAATAAAAATAGACAATAAATGAATCAACATTCAATAATGAATGAATCAACAATTTTCTGTCTCTGATTAAAATGGTAATAAATATTATACATTTATGTTATAAACATATCATCCTTTATGATGGTTTGCTTAATAAAAAACTGTTTTAACACTTTTATGTCATATTTAAGTAATAAAACAGCATTATGGAAATTCTTCTGAACCCAACATGAGTATGTATATATATAACCAAACATGAACATTCAAATTTAAAAAAAATTAGGATAAACAATTGGTTAAATGGCAGTATCAATAAATTTCATTTAAAAACTTTTTCTCATAAAAAAATCTTTTTTCAAAAAAGGAAAATAATATTAATAATAATATAAATAAATAATATTGTTTGGAAGTATTTCAATTTTTTTGATGATGAGAGAAAAAAATGGTATTTTCTTTTTTGCTTAAATTAAGTGTTTATTCATATTTTGTAATATCACTACTATTGAGTATCACTTATATTTACCATTTACTTATACTTACCATTTACTCATATTTACCATTTACTCATATTTACCATTTACTTATATTTACCATTTACTTATATTTATTATTTACTCATATTTACCATTTACTTATATTTACCATTTATTTAAATTTACTATTAACTTATGTTTACTGTATTATTTTGTATTGCTTATTGTATTAAATATTGCATTTTTAACTTTTACAACTTATTATTTATACTTCAGTTAATTCCCATTAATTAAGTCAAACAACGGTTAATTCAAATTTTTGTCTCAAACTGTTTAATTGAAATGTTTTACTGATTACTATTAAAATTCAATAATAATCAGTAAAATTTTTGGAAAACTAAAACTAAAGTCATATCTTTTATCATACCTTTTTAACAATTTCTTTTGATATAAAAATGAAACTTAAATTAAAACTTTTTACAATCACTTGTTTTACTTCATTATTTATTACCTTTATTTATTATTATTTTTATTTACTTTCAACTTATATTTACTGTTCAACTGTATTTGCTATTGGTTCATATTTTACTGTTCAACAATTGCTATTGGTTCATATTTTGTTCTGCAACTTATCAATTGTTTACTTTATTGTTAAACTCTAATTGCTCTTGATTTATTCATTTTATAATAACAGTTATTAACTTTGATAATCAGTTACTAAGCTGAAAATAAATCAGTTACTAAATAAAATAAAAAAATATTTGAAAAAATGTATCAAAAAAGAGCACTGTCATAATGGTTATATACGTCTGTAAATAAAAAAAAGCCCTCGGAATTAAAACAGAGAAATAATAATTTAGCGTCAGCAACAAATTGTGCTTTAAATGTATAAAGCTCTTTTTGCAACAAAAAGATTTTAAATTTCATTCATGTTTAAATAGAATACAAACTCAATGATATTAGACATCAATTACTATAAGCTGGTATATTTCATTAAAAAAAAAAAAATGTGACATAGAGCAACATTATCTCACCAAATGTGGGTTCGTTGACCATGGGTCAAAGCATGGTCAACCTACTCTGCTACTATTAAAAAAACCTCTCTTCTATTCATCTTATATTTACTTTACTATTTTAACTACATGCTTATTTAAATCATAGAGAAAGAAAAACATACTACTATATATTTGATTGGAACAGTTCTTTTCATCAGACCAATCGCCACAATCATTGAACCCATCACACCATAAAGTTTTTGAAATGCATTGAAAATTGTTGCAACGGCTAAATAAACTGTTAGAACTATAAGAACTGTTAGAACTAGAAGAACTGTTAGAGCCAAGTGAACTGTTATAGCAGTCTGTAATATATCCTGCTTCATCTGACCCATCAAGACAATCATTTACACCATCTTGAACCCACTCCAAAGGAATGCAAGGACCACTTGGAGGTCCACTAACATATATGCCACTGGACCAACATTGAAATTGAGTAATACTGTTACATTTTTTTAGTGCTAAAATAGAAGAAAAAACAATTTAAACTTTTTAAAATTTTTAACACTTCTCAAAACACCCATTTCTTAACTAAAAAGCAAAAACAAAATTATCTTTTTTTTCAAGTTGGAGTCCAAAACGCGTCATAATAAATTTAATTTGTTTTCAACTCCACAGTTCAAAAACGCATAAAAATATATATTTTTTTGACGTTTTGGAATCCGAATCCACAGTCCAAAAACACATTAAATTTAATATACTAAATAATAATACTTAATACTTGTCTCAAATCAACCTCAGTCTAACATCCAAATTATTAAAATAAATTTTAAAAAATCTAAAAACTTAAACATGTAAGTATAAAGAAAATTAAAAGAAAAAACCTTGAACAAACACAACTTTTGATGATACCTAAAATAACTATTTGTGTATTTTTAAGTAGAATTTTCAGGAAGAAAAATTATTTTAACAAACAAAAATTTTTATTATCTTCACTAATTACCATTCAAATTTACTTTTATCAAAAGATTTTGTTCAACTTAAAAAATAATTCTTGATAAAAAAAACTTGATTGGCTGAGAATTTTAGACAAAATACTTGATTGGCTGAGAATTTTAGACAAAATACTTGATTGTTGCTCAAGACAATGCTAAATAAAACATGTGTAATTGCATAATTTATGGACAATCCCTAAATAAAACATATTTACATGGATGATAAAAATAGCTAATTTAACAAAACAATTAACTTTTGAATATATATTTTTTTAATTTTATGAGGAAATCCTAAGAAAAAATAATATGGAAAATTTATTTTTTTAAATGTATAAATCTTTTTTTTTTGCTATATTAATCAAAAAAAAATTATTTTATTCAAACATCTATTAAAGACAAAACTTTTTTTTTTTAATAATAGTCCTTTTTTTCATTCCAATACTTGACACAGTTTAAAATTTATTGTAAACCAATATATGTACTTACCACAATTTATCTCATCACTCTTATCAAAGCAATCAAATTCACCATCACATTTATGAATAAGTTCTAAGCAACCTCCTGTCTGACATGCAAACTGAGTTGTTGAATTGCAATATATAGGGTAAGTGCAATTCTTCTCATCGCTTCCTTTTGAACAATCCTTCTCTCTATCACATCGCCATGTTAAAGGAATACAAAGGTTATCTTCCTCGCATTTTATTTTACTTTCATCACACACCATATCTATAAAATTATTGCAATCAAATATAAATCACAATAACTGTATTAAATGTATATGCATTATATATATATATATGTGTATATATATATATAGAGAGAGTTTATAAAAAGTTTTGTTAATTTTTACAATACTTTTTTTAAACAGAAAATGGAAAACTCAAAAAAAATGTCCCAAAAAAACTCTTATTAAATTCTTGTTAAAGAATTTATTCAATAAAAACTTAATTAAAGTTTTAGGAATACAAAGGTTATCTTCCTATGCAAAAATTTGAAATGTTTTTTTTATCTTTTTATGTTTTTGTTTGCAAAAATATTTATAGCAAAATCCAGGTTTGAATTGCAAATAACATCTTTTTATTATGTTTTGTAAATTTTTTATGCATAATAGAAATTCTTTTTGTCTAATAAAAAATATTTTTATAGAAAACACAAATAATAAAGATTTACTATATACTTAAATAATGAAAAAAAATTTACTATCGCAGGAATCTTCATCTTCACCATTGGTACAATCTTTGTATCCATCACATTTTGAAGAATTGCGAAAGCAAAGATTGTCGCAATAAAAATATCCTTCACGACATGAGTACTCTTTCCAAGTTTCATTTCCAGCTACAAAAAAAATGCAGATTTGTATAAATATATGTATGTGTGTGAGTATATATATAAAGAGGGAAAATTTTAATTAAACAGAAGTTATGATATTGAATTTGAAAATAAGTTTTTTAAATATCAACACTTTCAAAAGTTCGTTATTGAACCATATCTTCTGATAGTGTTTGATAGTGTAAACTTAAATTATCGCCACTATCAAAAGAACCAAACACCTCTTTTGGTTAGCCTGCGTAAAACAAACTTGCTATTTACAGTATTTAAACCCATTAACTTTACAAATGCTCCACTTAATCGGCAAAATATCAGTGCCGATTTTGATGAGACAAAAAAAAAATGATTTATTGAACTCCAATTTATCAAAGAATCAGAAAAAGTGTTTTCAAATGGTGTTTTAATTTAAACCAGAAAATTTTAATGAAAGTACAAATCAAAGTTTTCATCAATGTTCTGCTTGTCTTCTTTAACTGACCACTTCTTAATAACAGCTTTTGAAATGTTTTGTTTAATGTAAACAAGTTTTTCAATTGTCTGATTTTAAAAATGTTCTTTTGCGCGTAACAATTTTTCCTGCTTGTGAAAACACTCTCTCAGATGATGTTGATGATGCTGGAATGCATAAAACTATTACTCCTGCCAAAAGAGGTAGTTGAGGAGAGTGAATCTTCCACCAATTTAAAATGTCAAAATTTTTTTGTGGAAAGCCTAGTCACTTGTACGCTTCCATTTCCGTTTCAAATGGTGATGTTTTAGACGTGCAAAAGTGAGGTAATTCCTGACTGTTGTGGCTCATCATCTCTTGAAGGAGTACCTCAGTTGGGGAAAGGTCTTGTTGCTCTTGAAGTGTGCTTACTGCTGGCAAATATTGCATCTCTTTGGCTTGCTCATCTCTTAAAGCACATCTTTTCAACTGTGAAATAGTAAAACTCTCTCTTCCAAATTATGGTAGTTTATGGTATTTAAGTGACCATTAAATTTGGGGTCAAGAAAATGAGCTAATGCATTGTTGCTCAAACCTGAGGCACACTCTGGAAACCTTTTGCTGAGATTTAATAGAAGTTTTGGCACTAAATTAGTTGTGGTGGTATCGCTTGGTAAAATTAATAGTTTAATTTTTTCTTGAATATCAAATAAGCCAGAAATAATTAGATAAGCTGTATGAATTTCTGAAGACACAACATCTGTGAAGTCACTGAACACTTGTAAAATTGGAACAATTTTTTGAATCACTTCAAAATGCTCTTGCGCAGGGATGAGCGATCTTAAAATGTCATCAGTTTTTAAGTTGCCATTTGTAATAGCTTCCAATCCTGGTTTGAGATATAAAATAGAGATCATGCACATAAACCCACTATTCTATCTTGCCTAGCATGGTGTGATGATTTTTTTAAAGTTGAATTTTTCTTTTCTGCAAGTATCTAAGATTCTTCACTGACTACCAATTGACTTATGTGTACTAAAATCAAGCTTTTTGCAAACTTGGATCGTCTCATTAATTTCCTCTATAGAACTGACACCTTGTGTTATTACCAAGTGGATATTTTATGCGGTAGTGGTGTAGTGGTAAAACACTCGCTTCATAAGCGAGAGGTTCCGAGTTCGATCCCCACCACGTCCCTGGTAGTACTGCGCTCAACTTGATTCTCCGCGGAGCCGCCTTGTTTGTCAAGGTTCGTGTTTCGGAGTTATAGAGTTGAGAGAGGGTTATAACCACTATTAAGTAGCCTCCTCGTCTGTAGTGGCCTTCTCGGCCTTGAGGAGGTGAATAACAACAACAACAAGTGGAAAATATGTTCAGTACAAGTAGTATTTTCATTGATCATTGATGATTTCTTTGTTGCTAACAACATATTAGCAACATGTTAGCAGCACTATCAGAGACACGCGTCATTTTGCAGTCTGGCTTAAAAGGTATTCAACTGATGATTGTCTGTTTTATCTCCAGTGTGTCGCTCAAGGAATGCAACACATCCAAGCGAAAAGAACTTAAGTTCATAGTTGTTGTTTATGTAGTACAAAGTTAAAGAAGCATATGCATCATCGCTTCTACTTGACCACAGATCTGTTGTGAAACCAACAGCATCCACATTTGCTGAATCCTTATTCATAATAATCAAAATTGCTCTCTGATATTTTGGTATAAAATGGGTAACTTGCTCCTTGAATAGGTGGAAGGTGCTTTAAGAATAACTTCAGGCATTGTGAAACCCATAAGTTTTTTAAACCCATCAGAAGCAACATGTGTAAAAGATAAATTTGACACGCACAAATATTTCATGATTTTTAAGTCTGCTATGAGCTGTCGCTTATCATTTGAGGAAAATTTTGTTTTTACTTTGCAATAAGAAAGTTCTTTTTATCTTCTTTTTCATTTTTTTACCTCCTTCAACAACCTGGGCTTGACTTAGGTTTTTATCAGCAGCTTCACCAATTGAATCTCCACTGCCAGTACTTCAGTTGTAGTTTCAAATGATCGCTTTTTTTCTGTCATTTTCAATACTGCTAAAAATGTCTTTGTGGCAGTCTCGAAGATGAAACTTTAGTCCTGTGGTGCTGCCTAGCCTGGTTCTTATTTTTGATGGGCATTGTTTGCATTGGGCAACATCTTTGCCATGAAAATCTTTTGAAAGAATTCCCAATAAAGACTTGCTCATGGCATTATCAACTCTTAAGATGTCACTTTCTTCAAAACAATAAATCAATGTTTGTGTCAATATGAAATCAGGTGATTTATAAAAAATTATAAATCACCTGATTTCATATTTATTTTGTATAATCAGTTAATTTAACTAGTTATTAGTTTTAACTAGTTATTTATGCACTGTAAGCAAGATATATATATATATATATATATATATATATATATATATATATTATATATATATATATATATATATATATATATATATATATATATATATATATATGCATATAAATATTTATTTTTTAATTCAACTTTTAATAAATGTGTTTTTAATTTTCAGTTTTTTTTTTCATTGTATTAAGATTATGTTTAGACATGAGGACAAAGGGATGGGTAAAATTTCAGGGCATTTGAAACAGTTGGACATATGTGAAAACTTTTAAGTCTTGTGGGTGGCTGTAAAAGTAATATAATTCTTATTTAGGTCGTGTAAAATAGGTTAATTGTGTTAATCGTGTTAATCAATGGGATAACAAAAATGAGAGCGCATTTTTTTTAAGGTTTCTGAAGTATGTTAGTTTAATCACAGTGTATCCAAGTAAGCGCATATTAGATAAATGAATATTTAAAGGAAATAAATTCAAAATTCATCTTTTTAATACATTATCATAGTTAATTTTTATCAATTAAGATGGAATAAAACAAAAAAATAAAGGTAGTAGTTAAAATATTTAATAAACTTTTTTTAATTTTTATCACTTGTCACAAGGTGCTATTTTATTCTTATTTTACTTTTGATTTAAGTAGAAATCTTTATTTTAAATCCAGCACATATCTTTTCTATTTCAAGTCGACAAGAAATGACTTATTTTGGATCAAAATACGGGTTTGGCCCCAATACTATTAAAAACAAAATCATTAACAAAAGAGCAAGATGTGAATCTTTTTCAAAGACTAAAATTAATTTAAATGTAAATTTAAACAATTCAAAATAAAATTTAGACTATAAAATATGTTTTTTTAATTGACTATTAAACTTACATTTTTATTTTAAAAACTTGAGATCTTCATGGGACACGGCAATACCCATGATACAAACATACAACTTTTTTTCAACTATGTATTTATAAGAATTGTTTTCCCGTAACAAGCACATTTTTTTAATGCCAAATTTTAGGAGATTTAATAAAAAAAAAGTTAAAATTGATTTTTAATTAAAAAAATTTCCTAAAAAGAGTTAAGAAGACTTAACATTGAAAAATGAATGAAAGTTTTGAAATATGAGAAATATCCAATTGAAAAAGATTTCATTAATTTTCGAAAAAAAAAATTCAAAATTGATAATGTTAGATTGATTTTTTAAGCTTTTATTTTATCTAAAAACTTTAATTTAGTAAAACTAAACAAATACGTCTTACCCACCTACGCATGATTTTCCATCTTTCATAAGTGTGTAGTTAAATCCACATGCACATATGTATGAATTATTTGGTCTTAATAAACACAACTGTTCACACTTTGCTACAGCACAAATGTTATTACCTAAAATTTTAAAAAATAATTTAAAATAATCTCTAATCTGAATGATTCTAAATGGCAAGTCTTCATGACTAAACTTGATAAACTAAAATCTTTTGATTGCAAAACTTTATAAACAATTTGTAAAAATTAGTTACTATAACAACTGATAATAAACCATATTTACTTAATATCAATTAATATCAACATTTTACGTATTAAAAAAAAAAAGAATATCCATGAAATTCAATTTTTGTATGTTTTTTTACCTTTTTGTACTTTTCTATTATATATCTGAATTTCCATCAACCCACTATAAGAATTTCTTAAAACATTTACATCTGAAATGTTATTTTTCTTAGCTCGTAAAATCTCTTTTGATAACCAGTCTGTCCAATAAATATATGTATCATCTAATGCTAACCCAAAACTGTGTTGAGTATTGGCAATAACTACAACCCGATTTCTACCATCAAAGTCCATGGATTCAATTCTATCAATTTTGGCATCAGTCCAATAAACTTTATTTTCGTCATAGTCTAAAGCTAATCCATTAGGCCATATTAGATCTGTCAAATTTACTAGAATAACATGATTAGTACCATCTAAGTTTGCTCTTCCAATTTTCGCTGGCGCAAACCAATCTGTGTAAAATAAATACCTAAAAAAAATCTAATTTTTAGATAAGAAATTTGATAAATATTTTTGTGGTTAATATTTACATTTAAAAAATATGAAATTTGTACAAAATTGTGATGCATCCTGTTTAAATGTTTACAAAAGATGTAGGTATGTATATGTGTGTGCAAGTGAACCTTTTAAATGTTCACAAAAGATGTAGAAATGTATGCTCATGTGTGCGCAAGTGAACAGTTTAAATGTTTACAAAAGATGTAGGTATGTATATGTGTGCAAGTGAACCTTTTAAACGTTTACAAAAGATGTAGGTATGTATGCTCATGTGTGTGCAAGTGAACAGTTTGAATGTTCACAAAAGATGTGGGTATGTATGCTCATGTGTGTGTAAATGAACTATTTAAATGTTTACAAAAGATGTAGGTATATATGCTCATGTGTGTGCAAATGAACAGTTTAAATGTTTACAAAAGATGTAGGTATGTATATGTGTGCAAGTGAACTTTTTAAATGTTAACAAAAGATGTAGGTATGTATGCTCATGTGTGTGCAAATGAACAGTTTAAATGTTTACAAAAGATGTAGGTATGTATGCTCATGTGTGTGCAAGTGAACTGTTTAAAATATTTTAAATTTCTTTAAACTTTAATTACACTAATTTTTCAGACATTTGTCAAAAAAGCAAAAGAAAAAAAAAGAAAAACATCACTATATGTTTTCTTGTATGCTAACTTTCACATATGTTAAATAGCTTAAGATTATATGTTAAACCCGAAATATTGAGTAACCAAGTCTAAAATAAAGTCATTTTGAGATATTCAGGCTTCAATTGTGCTGATTTATGCTACTCAGCATTTTTTGCAGCATAACTTTATGTCATTAAACAACAGTATGTAATAAACAAAATGAGATTATATCCTGAAGTTTAGTAGATGGACAGTCTTTCACATAATGGATTTAAATATCAACCAAGTTTAAAAAAATTTTTTAGAGCATGGTAACTGTTTTTTGAATTTTGACAGTCAAAATGATGAAAATTTAATTTTTTTTTTTTTTTTCTATTCCTTTAATATTCTAAAACATTAAACATCACTTTTAAAATGGAGTTAAAGTAGAAAAAGAAATCAGATGAAACTGTATTGTAAAAAAAATGGAGTTAAACTAAAAAAAGAAATCAGATGAAACTGTAAAGTTCAAGAGGAGAGGTAAGACCCCTCCATACAAACCCTTTTTTTTAAATAATATTAACTAAAACACGAATATTGTAAGACAAAAAAGGGGAAATTGTTAAAGAATGTTTGAAGACAACAGCCAACATTAAAGTCAAATTATAAGCAAAAAGAAAAAAAAAGAAAGCAAATTAAATCACACAAAATTTGCAACAGTTAATTTATATTCAAATTTTTTAATTGATTTTTTTTTTTCAAAAAGTATTTTCAAAACTTTGAAAATGTGATAATGAAATGGTTACAAATGAACAATTTTTTGAATTGTTGCCATAGCTAGAAAGACGTTACAATGTGTTCGAGGCTTACTTTAACCGTTGATTTTAAAGCAAAAAATATTATTGCATTTTATATCTTTTTTTAAATTGTTCAACTACCTTTCAATCATGTATTTAAAAAAGTCATATCACACACCTAGTACATTGTATATTTTGTATATAAAATACACCAGATTATTACTAATAACATCATTACTAATTACATCATTACTAATTACATCATTAATATTTTCATAATTACTAATTATGTCATTACTAATTACATCATGACTAATTACTTCATTAGTAAATACATCATTACTAATTAAATGATTACTAATTACTTTACAAATTAGAAATATTAAATAATTTACTGGTGTATGTGCAGCACAATATAAAACTTCAAAAAATTTACTAATATCACAAAGAAGACTCAGAGATTTACGTTATATTGTATGCTGAATGGCTTTTTTTTTTTTGCTACATTTTGTGGAAATTCTGCTTGCAATAATGATAAATATGGTACGCAATAATAAGCTAGAGATGACATTGGTGGCATAGTAAAAGATATAATTGTAATACAGTTAAAAAAAGGACATTGACTAGACAAATTTTAGATTTAGATAATAAATTTTTGCAAACAAATACTAAAAACATTAAATTATTAATAATAAATAAAGCACAATTAAATGAAATTCGATTAATAGTACAACCAAGGAACTACTGTAGAAAGAACCTTGCCAGTAGTAAGATGGAGTAAAATGCATTTTTACATTTTGAACTAATTAAACAATGTACAATTTTTTTTCTTAACAAATTAAAGTCGACATTCTTGTTAAAGAAATTGTACATTTTCTAATTAAATAATTGACAACCTGTCAGACCTATTGAAAGATATTGCAATTAAAATATTTGTTTTGGTTTGGTTTCTTAGGTAAAAGCAAAGCATTAGTCTTAACACTTTTGTAACAGCTATTTAATGTTGCAAGATGAACAAAGATTCAGCAGACCAATGAAATTAAATTTAGAGCATTTAATGCTGTTAATCAAAAACAACTCAATCAACTATTCATTGCTTATAAAGCAAACACTTGATTCATTCATGGTATTATTGTTACTACTTGCACAAAATGAAAAAGACCTTCAAGTTTGATATGTGGTAGTGGTGTAGTGGTAGAATGTTTGCTTCACAAGCGAGAGGTTCTGAGTTCCATACCCACCATGCCGCTGGTAGTACCACGCTCAACTTGTTTCTCCGCAAAGTGGTCTTGTTCACCAAGGTTCGTGTTTTGGAATTAAAGAGTTGAGAGAGGCTTATAACCACAATTAAGTAGCCTTCTTTGACTTTGACTGGTTTTAATATGTCATCACCAGAGATCAGTATGTACATCATAAAAACCAAACCAGGAAGAACTAGTAGCCAGGACATAAAAAAACTACCAAAAATTCATTTTGACTTACTCTAAAAAACTGTTTTTTGTTTATTGGAATGTGCGAGGCATTGTATATTGGAACTATTTTTGCCAAACATTATAATGGCAACAACAACTTACTCTGATCAAATCCACAACTTTCAAGCAGAACTTGTAAAAAATATTGGGGGGCACAACAAAGTTTACCTCCTCCTTGACAACAAACTTTTGTTCTCAGGGAGGAAGTAAACTTTCAATTGCAAAACCAACACAGAGAAAATTATTGGATCTTGACTTAAAGGTGTTGCCTCATTTGCCTTACTTGATAAACATATCATTAAAAGATTATTATTTGTCCTAACTGCAACTTGTAAAATAAAAGATTTCAAAACAACAGTTAAAAAAACATGAATCACAAAAAATCCTCCTGTCCATTTTAATTTAAAAAAAAATTAAAATGGACAGGAGGATTAAATGAAAAAAGCATTTAAAGTTTTAAATTTATTCACTGCCTTTAAGTTTTTCAAATAAATCTACTTGTTTTCAGTTATTATATGTATTAAAAATTTTAAACCAAAAAGTTTTATTTGCCAAAAATTGGACCTAAGAATTTTGTTTTGCAGCAACGATGTCTCTTGATGTTTTTTTTTAAAACATAAGTCAAATGAATTTTACTCATAGTCGCAAAAGTTGAATCAATTTTGGTTCCATACTTTGTGAAATGACTTTTGTGCACCTAAGGTTTTAAATCAAAAATTTATTATATGTGAAAACTAGAAAAATATAAAACATAGGTTGATTTTTTTAGACTGACCCCATAAATATTTATAAACTTATAAAAACTTTACAATAACTGCAAATAGAAAATAGATATATAATATAAACAAATAGAAAAATAACAATAATAAAATAATAGTCATAATTATCAATATTAAAGTAATAAATATTTGTTGAAAAATTTCTATATAAAAATTATTTTTAATTTTGCTAAAATGACCCCTAAATTATTGTGATAGTAATACAAAATTAAAATAATTAAAAAAATTAAAATTGAAAAATAAATACCCCATAGATGGATGGACTACAATGGCTCTAGGTTTATAAATTTCTTCCTGCAATAAAGTCTTTTGATACTTTCCATCCAATTTTGAAACAGAGATTTCAGAACCTCCTTTAACTTTGTAGTTTGTCCAATATAAGTTCCTACCAACCCAATCAACAGCAACACCATCAGTATTTTCCAAGTGCTCAGAGACAACCCATTCTATATCACCCCCACTGTCATTGCCGATGTACACACGTCCAATTTTATCTAGTTTGACATCACTAAAGTAAATATATTCTTCGAGCGTATCAAAGTCTACACCAACAGCACTATTTAGACCAAGTATAGGTATGGTAACATCATAAGAGTATGTAGAGTCTAGAGATATACCTCGAACTTCCCAGCTTCGAGCAAAGATAAGAAAAGTATCAACAAATTCACAAGAATAGCCATCATCTTTTAGTCTGTAACGATATTTGCACAAACATGCAAACTCATACTGTGACTTAATAACACATAAATGCTGACAAAAGCGAGATTTGTTTTTTGCAGAAATACAAGGGTTAGGTGTATAAAACTGCCGTCCAGTTGTAAGAACCTGGATATCCATTGGTCTGGATAAATTACCAAGAATGATACTATAGTCTTCTGACCCTTTTTGCTTGTGGACTTTCACAATACCTTTCTTCATCCAGTCTGTAAAATATAGGTAATCTTCAAATACAGTAATAGCAAAAGGGTGAGCTACATATTGCTTTCCTTTGATGACAGTTCTTCTCTGAGTTCCATTATAATTCATTGAATCAATATAATCAAAACGAGCATCTATCCAATATACTATTTCCATAGAATAATCAATTGTAATGCCATTAGGCCATCCACCATTTTCTGTGGCTAAAACTTGCAAATTTGTTCCATCCATTTGTGAGCGTAACACTTTAGCTACCCCACCCCAATCTGTAATAAATAAGTAACCCTTTTTTGGATCAACTGCAAGTCCTCTAGGGCTGACTAACCCATCTGATATAAGTGGAGCGCGCATTTTGCCATCGTATGAAACCACATCAATGCTTTTAGCTGAACTTTCAGCAAAGTAAACATTTTTAGTAATCCAATCAACTGCAATTCCATCAGGAACAGCAAGACCAGTTTTAACAAGATTAACCTAAAAAAAGAATTTTAAAGTTAAGTAAAATGATAACTTTTATTTAGAGCTTAATTATGATTTATGTCAATTTTTGCAAATTATTGCAGCTAAAAATAAAAAAATTATTAAATTTTTTTAAATTTTTAACTTATAATTATGTAAAAGCTTGTCAACTAAAATCATCAAACTAATCACATGAATTTTTAAAGCCAATCAAAATTGTTTAATTAATCACATGCATTTTTAAAGTCAAAATGTATAACAAAAAATCTTTATAGAATGTTTAGTAAAATTTTTTGGCAGGACTTTACATATAGTGCTATATGTAAAAATACATGCCTGTAATTTTTAACTTTATGAACATTTTTTTTTATCTAACATCTAAATTTAAATTTTTTAAAAATTAAAATATAAAATATTGTTTTTAAACAGACTTAAAATTTTAATTTTTCTGTTTATCTTTATGAATGTTTATCATGCGTATCAATTTGTGTTTTATAAACATAATATGCCCAGATTATAAATATTCATATATGCATACATGCAGTTTGGCTAGCATTCTAAATTAAATTTTAAAAAAACGACATATGAAATTTTCTTTTTAAACAGACTTATACCTGTGCTTTTTCTGTTTATCTTATGAACTTAAACTTAAAAACAATAAATTCATTTTAAACTAGTCAGACTTAATTAATAAACAAATTGCAAGTGGAAAAAAGAAAGCGTTTAAAGATATAAAGCAAAGTTTATCAAGTTAAATGTTATTTCAGAAAGATTTTGCAAGAAAATTTAAATGCAACTTGAGATCTTTTCATAGTTTTGTTATGAAAAGATCTGAAAATTATAAAACATATAAAAAAAAAAAACTCTATAGCATTAAGCAATATTTTACTTTTAAACCAAAAAAACTTGTGCAGAATTGAAGAAAATGCAATATATTGCTAAAAAGACTTTTCATAATTGCCTTTTTATAAGTTATTCAAGTATATTCAAACTGAGAAATTTACTCCCGAGTTCCTTATATAGCAAGCAATCTTCTCCTGTGGTTTGAATGTACACCATTTATTACTCATAAAACTTTGAATGCAAGTTTATATATAATAGAATGCCTAAAGAAACACCTTTTGCCATTTATTAAAAGCATGATATGCCTACATTATTTTGACCTGATTTGGCTACATTCTACTACTGCAAAAAGTTTTTAAGAACCAATTATTGAGAAGAGAGAACATGTGTAAATCTAAGAACCAATAATGTAATAAGAAAATATGTGTAAATCTAAGAACCAACCATTTAATAAGAAAATATGTGTTAGTTTAACAACCAATCATTTAACAACCAAGTAACAAATAGCTGCTGGCAGATGCATTAAGAGCTTTAGTCTACTAAAATAGATGGCTCAAGAGCTATTATATCTACTAAAGTTGCCTCAAGAGGCAACTTTAATAGACATAAAAGACTACAACTAGACTAAAAAAAGAATGCACAATAAAATGCACAACTTAATCCACATGATGATGGCTAAGCTGAGAACACGTATTTTGTCCATCAGGTTCTTTATATTGTATTCCCAGTTAAGCAACATGACATTGACAAAAAAATGACATTAATGAGAACTGTGTAGTCTACACATAATGAATTATGAGAACTGTGTAGTCTACACATAATGAATTATGAGAACTGAGTAGTCTACACATAATGAATTATGAGAACTGTGTAGTCTACACATAATGAATTATGAGAACTGAGTAGTCTACACATAATGAATTATGAGAACTGAGTAGTCTACACATAATGAATTATGAGAACTGAGTAGTCTACACATAATGAATTATGAGAACTGAGTAGTCTACACATAATGAATTATGAGAACTGAGTAGTCTACACATAATGAATTATGAGAACTGTGTAGTCTACACATAATGAATTATGAGAACTGTGTAGTCTACACATAATGAATTATGAGAACTGTGTAGTCTACACATAATGAATTATGAGAACTGTGTAGTCTACACATAATGAATTATGAGAACTGTGTAGTCTACACATAATGAATTATGAGAACTGAGTAGTCTACACATAATGAATTATGAGAACTGTGTAGTCTACACATAATGAATTATGAAAACTGAGTAGTCTACACATAATGAATTATGAGAACTGTGTAGTCTACACATAATGAATTATGAGAACTGTGTAGTCTACACATAATGAATTATAAGAAACTTATAGAAAACACTTCTCAAGAGACACAAAATAACTCTTTGAGCTAAACCAATTTTTATTATGTAAAAGTAGCATAATAAAATTTAAGCTTTTCCAAGCTGTACAAACAATAGAGCTTGTTTCTACTCTTTTTCTACAAAGTTTACGAGGCCACCTTACAGCATTTACATTACAGCATTTTCTATTAGCTTATTCTTGACTTTACAATGCACAATATTAGACTTAATCATCTTTATTTTTTTGCATATATTTCACCTTTTTAACACTGAAAACAGAGTAATAATTTTTCTTCTGCCTCTGTAATCAAACTTAACTATGCCATAAAATAGCTACCATGGTATAAAATATTTCGTAAAAATATATTTGGATACTACTATTTTAAAAAGGTTTTTATTCAAAAAGTAAATAATTGAATATTGCAACTTAAATTCTGTTTGTTTTGTTGAAGTCTTTCAAACTTATTAATACATAAAAAAAATGTAAAACTAATAAGTTACCTCATTGATTGTTTTAGAATCACCATGCAGGTACACAGATTTAATAAGATTTTCAGTTACATCTGTATAAAAGAGTTTGCTAGAGTTGCTGTCATAATCTAATGCTACACCACGTGTCATACTAGTAACTAATGAAGTGTGCAATCCTGTTCTTAAATTATATCGCTTTATTACTTTTATATCAACATAAATCAGCTCAATATCCCCTGAATCTAAAGAACAAACTAATTCACTTGTTTTAAAAGTATTTAATTACTTATACACATATATTGCAATTAATGATTTCATATCTAATTGAATTTGGATATTGTAACAAAATAATTATAACAACAATTTGTGCAGGCCTTGTGATGAATAAAAAATTCATAACGCACTTGTGTAACAGAGTTTTTGAAATTTTTTATTTGCTTTTCATATTCATTGAAATTAAATTTTTTGAACTAATGAAATATAATAAATTACTGCATAACATAATTTAATAATTAACTCAAAACAATGTAGAAATGTTATTATGTAATAATGTTATGGAATGCTTACAAAAATTCCGGTTTTTTTGAATAAAAAAATGTTTATTTTCTCAACATTTGACACAATCATGTTTTGTTTATAACTGTATGAATAAAAAATTTTTTACTCTATTTCTTGAATACATATTAACAGTTTTGCAAAAAATAATTATTTTTATTTTAAAATAAAAATTTTTAGTTTTTAAAAAATAATTATTATTTTTATTTTAAGAAGTCAACAATTAATAAACTAAAAACTTTAAGTAAAGTAAATTAAAAAAAAAAATTTATATAAAATGACTAATACACGCTTGTTTTATAAAAATATGTTATTAACACTTGTGTTACTTGTATATATTTTTAATGTTTACAAGGAATTTCATTTCTAGCAAAATAAAATAAAAAGGCGGAATAAAAAACCTTATACATGATTCAGGTGAAAAAGTAAAATTTGCTTTTTGAACAACATACAATAGCCGCACTAAAATTTAAAATAAAAAACGATTAAACCTAAGCTTTTTTCAATTTTTTGACAATTTATTAATTTATGTATAATAAAACAGTAGACAAGTTTTCCTTCTGTTACAGAATATTATGATTATTTCAATATTTCTACAGAAAAACTGAAAACTTTTTTGTTCTTTATCTGAATTTATTATATTTGTAAATAATGAGCATATTTTTTGTACTTGTAATATAAACTTTTATCTCAACGAGGTGCGGTTTTAAAAATGTACTTTACTAAAATACTGTTAAAATAAAGGTTAACTACTTTATTCAAATAAATAAAAATATTTATAGAATTACTTAAGTAATACCAAACATAAAAGTTTTTAGCTTAAGATAAATAGGGTTGCATAATGTAAAATCACTCTTCACGTATGTAAAATGCTCTACACTCAAGACTTTATCACAAGGCCTGTTAATGATATATTATCATTAATGATATTCTATTATTAAAATAATAAAATGTAAGAATAATAAAAAAATAATATTATTCAAACTGCACCAATATATCTGCAATCTGTTTTATTTTCAAGAACATGTCCAGGAAAGCAGCCACACTGAAAATCATTTCCAACCATTTTACATAATTGACTGCAAACATTGTTGTCACACTGATTTACAACTAAGTACGTAGAATAGGATAATTAAAAATAATATTAAAAACTAAGTTAATAGAATATAATAATTAATCTATTTAAATATATTAAACATAATCATAAAAATATTTCAAAATTCACTTACTTGTACAGGTATGATTATCTGGTGAAAGTTTATAAAGTGATGGACACAAACAAATCCCTACACCATTTGGTTGTTTTTGACACTTATATTCACACTTGTTTTCACATTTACTTTGATCTTAATAAAGTTAAAAAAATATATTAATGACATGCTTATTATGAGTGCTGTAAAAAATAAAAAAATAAAAAGAATTTCAAAGTATTTTTTTTTAATTTATAAGTTTAATGCTTAAAGTTTCATGCTAGTGTGGCTTAAACAGGCTTTTGATTATTTTTTTAATTTAAATTTTAACATTATGAAAAATTGTGATTGCAATATATATATATATATATATATATATATATATATATATATATATATATATATATATATATATATATATATATATATATATATATATATATATATATATATATATATATATATCAGGCCTTGTGATGAATAAAAACTGCGCCACGCATAAGCACGATGTGATTTTTGACGTCATTAAATTCTTTTTATTTGCTTTTCATATTTATTGACATTAACTGCACCAATTTACTTAATTTAAAATCTAAAACATTTTTTATGTGTTCAAAAAGAGCCGGTATGAACATATTTGAAGTAAAAATTATAAATAACCTAAAAAATTGCTTTAAAAAATAAAATATTCACTTTTTTAAGTTAGATTTGAAACTTTGCAATTAATGCTAGGTTGCAAAAATGAATTGTGTCTCATTACCTTAAAGATCAAAATGGATTTATTAAATAGAAGAAATTTCACACAAATATCATATCAAACATGATAATGGCAGAAAACATTTTTACTTAAGCATGAGGAATACCCACAGGGAGATTACCAACCTGCCCATCATGTATGACAGTTTTTAAATGTATTGCTAAAAAAAATTAACACAAATGAGGTTCTAGTTGGTTATATTAGGCACAACATAAGTGCTTACATCAAAGAAAATATTTTTTTACATAGAGTTAAGCATATCAATTTTGTTTGATCTGGTTGAAACGAATAACATTAGATAAATAACAAAATTGGGAATGTATGAGAATTTTTTTAATTTTTATGAGAGGCTTTGGTTGCTTTGTTTGACTTCTTTATTCTTCTTCTGAATCAGAGGCATCTCTAGAAATTTGAAGTTCCGGCATCTTCAAGAGTTTCTTGATGGGTTCAGGCAAGATTTCTGAGTTGTGCTTCTTTTTCTTGCGGTGGACATAAGCCTAAAAATTATATATAACATTTAATGGATGAAAGAAAATATTGCTATCAAAGCTAAATTGGGAAATTCAAATGAAAAAAGGTCCTGTTTCAGAAATCATTTAAATTAAATAAGCATGAAAAATTATTGAAATTGGAAAAATTTTGGATATGCTTAATTCCAAAATTACCTGTATCTTTGGATCACTGATGTCCATCAGTCTCAAGAAAAGGTCAGACATGCCATTGAGCCAGGATGATTTTCGAGCATGATAAAGACGGATTTTTCGAAGAAATTTGTTGTTAGCCTCTCCTGGTTCCTCATTGGTCATTCCAATTGGAAGAACACAAGCTTCAATGATTTGTTTTCCATGTTTCAGAACCTTGTGAATTGTTGGGGACAACCAGTACAATTTTACATGGTCAAAATAAATCTTCTCAGTCTCTTCACACAGAACTCCAAACTTGTCTGGACCAATGGCATATCCAGATGCAAGGGCAGACCAGAGTGTTCCAAGATTTTCAACCAGTTTGACAGGGACATCACAGATTCTTGCAACAATTTCTAAAAAAGAAAGAAAATATGTAGGAATATACAGATATCAAGATTTGAATTTCTCCAAATTGACAGCAAAGCTATGATGTGATGCTCATGCAACTTGACAAGACATAATATCTAAAAACTAAATTATTTCTGAATGCTTCCCAAAAAGTTTGGTGAAAGTACCAAAACTTGCAAGTGTAGCTACCTGGGTTTTGAAAAGCTTTGCGAGCAACATTTCCTGTTGTTGTAGTGCCAGCATCTCCATCCCGCCTCTGGTCAACAATTAGACCCAGCTGCTCCCGAAATTCTTGCTTGACTCGTGTCTCCCAATTTGCAACCAGTCTTTTTTCATCAGGGCTCATATGAAGATGGAACTTTTTGACATCTTGGCGATATCCAATGTTGCAAATTGTATCAAAACTCCGCAAGCCAAAGTGCAAGATGCTTAGGCCAAAATTCAATGTGCCAGGTTTAGGTGTAAAGACACCCTTGGAATTATTCATCTCCTTTGGTTTGGCATGGCAGATGGGGCAATTAGAAGATGCAGGATTTGATGTAAGTTCATTCAAAACTTTGCCATCAACCATGGTCAACAAACCCTTGAAAGTCACAATTACTTGAGGATCAGATAGAAGTGAGAATTCTGTCAGTTCTTCGACTTCTTTTATCAACCTTGAAGCTTCTCTCTGGATTGAGAACTTGTTCTCCCTCTCAATTGCAATTCGAATTGGCCGACATGAAGAAGCAGAGTTTGGGTGAGGGTTTTTGTAGACAATGATGTCATCATCTTCAACTTCTGCTTGTAATGGGACCATCTGGCTGACAAGATATGTTGATCCATCTGGGTCTTCACCATCTACTTTTTGCATGAAGGTGGGAAAAGATCTAACTCCATCAAAGCCAAATTTGAAGTAAAACCTGAGCCGGATGGGTGTCTGCTTTTTTTGAGCTAATGCTTGAAGCATTGTAATTTGTTCAGCATCTTCTAGAAAGATCCTTTTGGCTGTGTGCTCAAGCAGATTTTGAAGAGGTACCTGTCCACTGGTTAATGAAAGATCACATCCAACTGGTCTACAATCAAACTTGGCAGCCAAGACCTAAAAAAGTATTCAAAATTATTTTCTACAGAAATAAGCCTAGTGATTTTCTTTAAATTGGTTAAAACTTGAACTGTTAGTCTAATTTTTTAAACATTTGGAAACATTTACTCTGTGTAGTGTCCTATATTTATGTATGCATACAGAACAAAATAGTTGAGAAAACTCTTCCATTAATGCATAAACATGTGATGTGTAAAATGGTCTTTATCTAAGGCTTTGTTTAACTGAATTAAACAATAGTTAACTTTCATCACAATTACCTTGTTGTAGTTTGGCCATATGTTGCCTTGCCACTCCGTACTGAGCTTCTTCATTTCAACATACATGTCTTTTGAAACATGCTTTGTGAGTACAAAGGAAAGAGCAATAAAGGCAGGCATTTTAGGAACACTCTCCTTCTTGCCCTCAGTTATGGCATTGAGGGCTTTTTGAGCAGTTGTTCCATTTTGACTGTTAGCTCTGCGAATGAGCTTCCCAAGAGTTGACTTTTGTTGAGATGCAGCAAGCATGATTGCTCCATCATCATAGGTGTTTCTGATCTCTGCGCTTACTACCAATTTTGACCGCGTTGACTTCTCCTCAAATGGGATTGGAGGACGACCACGTTTTTTGAGGGAGTTGAACTCAAGGGAGCTATAAAAACATTAGCTCTTTATATTCAAGTAGTCTAATATGAAGTAAACAGACAAATTTCTATTAAATAAACATTATGATATATACTAAGTTTCTGTAGAAATTGAATTAGTCTTAACTTTTGTGCATTAAGTTACTGACAAAAAACTGCTATTTCTGTGACAACCCTTTAAATATACCTAGATGCTGCAGTCTTTGATGGTGTCCTCAGAAGTGTTTCTGGAATGTTGAAGAGCTTTTTCAAAAAGGTTGCTTCATTTTCAACAAATCTTCTGTAGTTTCTGTGGTTTTTTATTCTATATAGCCTGGTAACACCAGCCAAAAATGAGTTCACATCACTTTCAATCTCTGCTTGAACCTCAGAATCCAGATCTCCTTCTATAAAGTTGAGCTGCTTCAAGATGAATCTCTTCACAATTTCTGTTTGATAAGGGATGTCAGCAAATCCATGCTCTTTGGTTGAATTATTCTTCATCTCATGACACAAGTCAAGATATGTAATTTTCTAAAACATAAATTGTAATAAGATTAAGAAACATCAATATAAAACATTGAAAGAAGCCTCATTAGTGTCACAGGGATTTAGTTTCTCTTAGGAGAAAAAAATCATATCTTACAATTGTTCAGGAATTTTGTGGCCTTTTTCTTCAAGTTTAATGACACCAGCATGAAAGGTCTTTCAAAGACATAAATTTTGAGGTATCAATCATAAAAATCCATTAAAAAATGGCCGAGTTACAGAATTTCCAAAAATTTGGCGCACAATAAACAATTTCGAATTTTTACGCTCGCCGACAATTACGATCGCACGCGCACACATGCTTGCGCAAACTTTAAAAGTCAATAAAATATGCTCCCGCAACTCCCCGCAACAATTTCATGTGTCATTTTAAAGGTCTTTATTTCCTCTTTTCACCTGATTTGGTCCCAATTTCTTGGGATTTGTTGGGAAAAAGTTGCAGCACTGTTTTTGACATGTAGTACACTTTTTTTCTGATGTTTGAAAAAATCATTACTATACATAGCAATATAGATTTTAAAACTTTTTTTTTTACTTTTCTAATATTTTTTTATATGTATTACTAAAATTATTAAACAAAAATTTGAAAATTTTCACCCATTATTTTCTAAGACCCACTTTAAAAATAGTCATTTTTCAGTAAATTTTTCACTACTTTTTTCCTCCTGTTGTTCTACTCATAGCCAACCTATTTTTACTTCAATTTCTCTTAAACCTCATATTATGGCTCTCCAACTATCCTATTTTTTGATGAATACCATAAATTAAAAAAATCTTTTCATGACACTTTTGGGATTTTCTGCAGATTTTGACCCCAAAAATGATCACTGTGCAATAGCTAATATTTTTACTAGCGATTTTAAATAATACTTTTTTATTTATTTATTTTTATTTCTTTTCATAAAGCGGTTGATAAGCACAATCACTCGTATTATTAAAAAACTTTAACGAACATTTTGAATACATTTTTAATGTTTACAAGGAATTTTATTTTTGGTAAAGTAAAATAAAATGTTAGAATAAAAATCTTTTAGGTATAAAAGAAACATTTTAGCAAAAAAAATATTCTTAAAAATTATTATTAAAAATTATTCTAAAAACTATTGACGTTCTATTTTTCAGCAGCTG